CTTAAAAGGAGCCTGTCTCCCTCTGCACAGCTCCCACATCTACATCCTTTACTCTGATAAATAGAAACTAGAGAAAGCCCAAAACAAAACAAACTGGCTGTATTCATTAAAGCCGCTGTTATGTGCATCTCAGAATATACTCAGATACCTGTCAATGTCTGTTTCCGTCGCAGTGGTCCACAACGCAAACATTGCATGTGTGTACATGTGTACGTGGCTGTCAGGTGAGATTGTAGCATTTACGCTGTGATATGTCACACCTGATTATGGATACATGTTCCCTTCTTTCTCCCCTGTGTGTGATGCATGCGTGAGTGTGAGTGTGTGACAGGCAGACATCAGCAGATGTTTGGTGGTTGATGACAGCGCCACGACCTCTGATGACGCCCTCCATTTTGTCACCGTCGACTCGCGCAGATTACCCCCAGCGCCATCTTCTTACTCTGTATGCTAATGAAACAGAGAGAGGGAGTAATGAGAAAAGAGTGGCAGATAAAAAAAGAGGGAGGAAAGAGAAACAGAAGTAAAGACAAAGGAAACGGTGCATGAAAGAATGCGAGAAAGAGACATGATAGTGTTTGAATGTGTGTGACAGAGAGGAAAATAAGAGTAAGAGAACAAAAAACAAAACAAAGAGAGGGCATGTCTGGGAACATACATCAGCATGAGAGAGGTGAAAAATGAATACAGCAGGTAGAATGTGGAAGACAAAGAAAGAGGGACACTAATGAAGGTCATCAGCAGCCATATTGGGGCTCCCTTGGACAGAAATTTAGTGAGTGAGGTAGTGTGATGAATATGATTATAGGTCTGTGAGTGTGTGTGACAGTAATGAATTCAGGGTGTGGAATAGGACGGGGATATAGGTCTGAAGGAGTGTTGAATTTCAAACAGGGACACCGACCCATCGCCACTGCGCCACTGATCGCTCTGGATGCGTGTTTTCCTTGTGTCCACACGTAGGGGTGTGTGTGTGCCTGTGTGGATGGCTTTGTGCCGAGGTAGCGAGGGAGAGATGCCGACTGTCCTGCTGTAATTTATGTGAAAACTAACAGAGCTGTCCCGAGATGTCATTAGCTAAAAGGCAAATTTCATTATTTCGCTAATATGGAGCATGATGACTCTTTTTGATGTCTCCCTCCCCTTCTCCTCTTTCCTCTTGCTCCCTCCCTTTTCCACTGTATCCACGCCTCCCACCGCCTTTTTGTCTATAACCCCCCCCATCCCCACCCCTCCTTCATACCCCCATTCAGAGGATCTCCTTATTCAGAGCAGCTTTCCCTTTCAAGGTTGAAGAAAATGGCCATGTGTCTGTGTATATGTGTGTGGGGAAAGTGAGACTGATTTTCATTCGTGGTCCCGCTGAATGAGGTGATGGTGACTCACCTTCAGCCCAGAGCCACACACATACACACACACACCTTGCACTCTTTTCTCCTTACCCTCCCTCCCAGCCTTTGATGTGTGTTTGAGTCGATGGCTAATCAGGTAGCATCAGGCCTAGTCCTCATTTCCCCTTCACACCGGCCCCATTAGGGAGCAGGCTTTCTGGAGCAGGCCGATAAGGACAATATGCTCTTCTTCGGCAGTCTCTCTTCCATATATACTGTAAATCTCCCACTTCTCTCTCTTTCTTTCTTTCTCTCATTCTGCTTTTTCCCATCTTTCCCCGCCTTAAGTCTCCAGTGTCTCCCTCGTTCCTTCATCTCTCATTCTCCCCGTCACATGCTTCTCTCACCTTTCACTTTTCTTCCCATCTCACCACCTTTCCCTAAATGTCCCATAACTCTCTTGCTCCTCTTTCTCTCTTCTTTTCCCATCTTAACCTCTCTACTCTCTAAATCACACACTGCACCTCCTTCCCTTCTTTCCTTTGTCGGCCTCCCCCTGCATCCATCTTTCACTCTGCTTTTTTCCCCTTCATTCCCAAACTTATTCCCTTAATCCCCAGCAACGTTCTTTCAGTCTCTTCCCCCATGTATCCCTCTTTCACTACTTCCCTTCCTATTTCCCAACAGTCCTCAACTCTTTTCCCTCAAATTGTCTCCTAATCTTTTTTTACCCCCTTTAGGTTTCCTACTGTCTTAAACTGTACCCCCCCCCCCCCCCCCCCCCCCCCCCCCCCCATTTCCTCTTACCTCTTCTGTTACTCCTTGAGGGAACACTCCGACGTTTTTGAGAAATTGGCCTTATGGTCAACTTAACCATTAAGAGATGGGAACATAGACATAAAAATCTGTCATTGGTCCAGCGTTTGCTAGACTACACCATATTGAAGCTTTAAAATCCACAATATTTATGATGGAAGGTAGTACCTTTATACCAATTAACTGACATTTAATATTAAAAGGTTTCTAGTGGTGTATATACTTAAATAAAAATAGATGTTGAATTTCAGTGGGAACATTTTCAGAGAATCCAAATATTGTTAATCATCTTGATCAGTCACTTATGTGCTCTGGAAATGGAGTAGCTTTTTCTGCATTCCTTTCACTTTGATTGCATGGCAATGCATCTTTGATCCTGTCCATTTACGAGCAACATGTTTAATTGTAAGACATGTCCAGGCAATGAGAGTGAATAGAGAGAAAAACAACCCATAATTTTTCATTTTTACTCACAGAGCACAGGACCATAAAAAAATATTCATATTATTAAAAGAATGTTTTTGGGGATTTTTCTTTTCAAGGCACAGCTTTGCTTCTGCTGTTATTAACAAATCAGCATTATTTGTGCATTATAGGCAATATGTTGTGGTTATGTGGTAGTTGGACCGTGTTTATATCATATCTTATCTCTTTAATATGCACTTTATGGGGTTATTATGCTGTAGATTTGGTGCAGCTAGTTCTCCTTTGTGGTAATGTTATGTTGCCCACTAACACAAAAGTAAAAAGGGCACATGGATGTGTCTGTTTAATTTAGCTTTTACTTATCACTTAACAAGTTTGTTGACCAACTGACCAGTCTCCCCCAAAACGTCTTCTTTTAAATGTCAGCAGAATCTGAGGTCATGCTCCTTTATGAATCCCTCCCTGTTCCTAAGCACAGTCTAACCTTCCTACAGGCATCAGTAAAGTATCATACATTATTAGCCTCAAACTAGTTTATCGCACTGTTATCAAGCGCTTCTGGGTATTGTAGTCCCTGGTTTTTAATCTGTGTTCCACTTGCTCCCTCCTTTCTTTAATGAATTCCTTTACTGGCTTCCCCCACCTTCCCTCAGCTTCACAAAATGACAGAAAGATGCACTGTATGGTTTGCCAAAAACAATATTGTGCAACGCAGTGCAACTATATAAAAAGTCACTAAATTGATAATAGATATAGAGAAAATCATTATCCTGCCAATTAAAAAAACAGATCCGATCAGTCAGCCAGCTAAACAGCCAGACAACTAACCCAGAAGCATTGTGGGGATTTTTTTGTAACCAATCAGAGTTCTACTTCAGTTGGACTCCAGTACACCATGTACCCACATCACATAACACAACAAAAGCACTGACAATCACTCCACAGAACTCTTGAGACTGGCTAATACCTACTGTAAAAGAGTTGTACTCCCAACAATGAGAAAATATCTCTTCACTTTATTTTTCTTATAACTCAGTAATGGGCAGGGGAGTCAAATAAGTAGTATTGGTTATGGCCGATTCAAGTCATCCTCTGGGATATTTGAGTTTAGTTGTGGGGTTTATGTTTGTGGTCTTGTGGTGTTGTTTAATGGAAGATACATAAGCGTAAATGTTGACAATGGTTCAATTCCCAATAGGGCCACCTATGCTGCAAATGGTATAAACTATGATTGTTTGAACATACTTAGTAGATTATACACTTTCATACTAGTATAATAGTTAAGTTTTATTCTAATGGCATTGTAGCTGTTGAATACAAATATTTTACGAGCACATTTTTATTAATCTGGATATTAACACTTCTTTTACTCTTACTTTTGTCAGAGCTTAACAGATGGATATTATATACATGAATGTATTTGTGACCTGGAAGCAGTAACAGTTTTCTGTGCAAATTTGAAGCTGCTGGCAAAACAAAGTAAAGCAAGGCAAAATACCTAAATGAAGGACTGAGGTGGAGCCAAAACTGCCATTAAACAGGATTAATGTTATTCACTGTAGAATCTAGAGGCAATATAAATATATTTACAGATGAAAAATGTGATTTGGTCCTGATTCACTCTTTAACATGTATTAAAAACAAAATGTAGATAATAAATGTGTGTGTGTGTGTGTGTGTGTGTTCAGGTTAGGGGTGGAGAATTGAGCGCTGCTACTTGGACATTTTGTCAGTGTGAAAATGAATCTGCCTCAAGCCTATATTCACCTCCACCAAGAGAATGCCAGCATTTTGCTATAGTGCAGCTGTATAGTCTATAAAAAGTAACCACATAACAAAAACCCACCATTTTAAAAGTGAAACATTGTGTGAATGACTGTCTCCTTTTTCTTGCTTTTCCTTTTTTTTGAGTGACCTAACTTTTAGAGGAGACATGTTGCCAGCACTCCTGTCAGTTTAATTTTTTTCTCACCCTCTGTTCTGTTCTGTCATTTTCTGTTTGTGGTGTGACAGAACCGCCTCTCCCACTAAAAGTTATTTTAATAGTGGCAGAATACTGGGCTGATCCCAGTTGAAGCATTTTTCACATGACAAAAGGGCTGGTCCAGGTGTTGGATATACAGATAGGTGTGTATGTGTGTGTGTGTTTTCATATATCTATATATAATATGCATCAAATTCCTGAAGTGAAAGTCTTGTGTTAAGATCCCTCTTTCCCTGGAATTATTCTCTGAGTCTGTGTGGACTAGCTAATTACTTATTATTGTAACAGTAAAGTGGTCCACCTACACAGAGCCAAATTAGCTAAGAGCCAAAATCACACCACAATTAACAAAAACACCAATTTTACAGATTAGCACTTTATTTTCAAATAAAACAAATTAGATCAAAAATTAAATCATTTTGCTTCATTTAATAACTTTAATGCTTTTCTGCCAAAAGTGTACAGCTAATAGTGAGTGATTATTGATGTGATATAACAAATAATAATAAAATAAGTAAATAAGTTTTCTTGGTGGGTTTATTATCATTACAAAGCAACAGTATAGTCTATCTCCACCCATCTGGTACTCCAACTTGCTTGAAACAAACACTAAGAATCATTTGCAAACACTGTTTGTTGCAGAGCTGTTTACGACATAGGCTATGAACGCAAGCTTTTTGTGTGATTATTAGCATGGGCAACCACGCAGAGACCTACAGGGAAGCCTGGACTGGAGCTGATAACACACACAACACACGTGCACACACAAACACACACACACACTATAGGTGCAAGCACCCCAATCATTTGTGTCTTGAAACAATGATCGAATAATGCCTCGTAAACATTGTAATGAGTGCTGTGATGATCAACAGCCATTCTGTCTGTCTCTTCTCCATCTGTCTGGTGGTTGAGGGCCCACACTGTTCACAAACAGCCTAACGCTAATTTGGGATAAAATGAAAATACTGACTTGCAATATTTTGCTGGTTTACCACATATTTCCAAGGGACCACACATACAGCAGTGAAGTACCACCCACTCTCATTTGATGAAATTAGGTTAGGAAGGAGCCTCTTCTGTGCTTTCCGCCTTTGTGAGAGAAGAGCTCATGGTGTGGAAATTAAGAGCCTGTATGTGGTTGTGTGTGCGAACGTGTGCATTTGTGTTTGTGTGTGTGAGAAGCTGACTAATCCCTCCACAGAGCTGAAACGAGTTAAAAACACATCAAAGGGAAGCTTAACCTCTGTGAAACCTCACCGGGTTTTCAAGAACAACAAATGATCATTCTCCTCATTGTTTCCAGGGGGACTCTTTTCGCCGCTGCGCCGCTGACTTTTCCCTCAGTCCTGGGAGTTTTCAAAAAGCCTGTGGTTTCTTTTTAATGACTGTGCCGTTTGTGTGAGTGTGTGTGTGTGTGTGTGTGTTTATGAAAGAATATAAATGATGTGTGGAAGTGTAAGTGGGTACACGCATATGTGTTTGCACATAAAAGGAGGGTATTGTGAGTGTGTCATGGCAAATGAGGAAAACTGAGCTAACAAGGACATGGAGTTCTGCTCCAAATCATTAAAATGTATGACATCCTGACTGGCTGTACAACAGCTATGCACTGTATGTACAGAACCAATGAAGGATAAAAAAGGGGGGTTGAAAGACAAATGGGGGAGTGTGGGGGACAGGTGGGGGGAAGACAGTGAGATCGAATGGCAAGACGTGGAAGCCACTTGTGGTCGGAGACCTGCTTTCCCCAGAATTCTCATTATCACAGTATAATAGTGCTTCTCCTGTGCAAGTTCAGATATTTGCATTGTTCTTTTCCTTGTTTTTTGCTCGTGCAAATGAGTTCAAGAATGTGCTCTTGTTCAACCACTATAAATATGGAAAAACAGCCATGACTCACCTGTAGCAGCACAAGGAAAAACACCAGCTCAATATGGGGAGAGCGTGCCATCAGCCCTGCTTCAAAACCACATTTTAGATCATTTATTTAATGCTTTTGCTGCTGAGCAATGTTGGTAGCTGTGTCAACATCTTTGTTTGTCTCAGCAGTCATGTAAAACTGCAAGAATGCCTTATTATGCACTGTTAACAGGTAGCATTGCTGACACATATCCAAGTGGTCGAAATAAGATACTGCTGGCATATTGACCGATGAAATAAAAATGGGGAGAAATGTACAACCGCTTACAAATGTATGTGTTTTTTATTTTTCTGTCTTTACAACACAGGGGGGGCTCAGACACAGCAGCGGAGAAAAATCAATAAATATTTCTTCAAGTATTAAACCAAATCTAAAACAACATCTACGATAATAAACATCTAATGTACTCAGTCACAAACAAACACACACTCAGCCACAGGCACTTACGGATGAGACAGGAGCCCTCAGACACATAACGCAATCGTACATAAAGACACACGGCCATATTCACCACAGTAGATGCAGGACACATGGTGCACAGCTGCAGCGTAATCAGAGACTGTGTTACAGCCATTCACATGAACATTTGAGGATTCTGATGATGTGCCGTCCCTCATTTATCCAAAGCAAGACTCTTCTCCAGTGTGTGACACATTCATCAACACTAAAGAATTTGCAGTTAGTCACTAGCTCTGTTTAGTCCATTTGCCTACTTAGGATGGATTAAACTGACTATAGTTCATCTGAAATGTTGGAAATTACAGACAAATAATGTTGTATTGGTGCTAGAGTTTTGATGCAAAACAAGATCATCTTTTGGAGAAGTAATTGCTAATGTTATAAGCTACCACTGCTCAGAGCATGGCAACATTTTAAGGATGCAATCAATGGCTTTTTTAAAAGTTCAAACAGTTCGATTTTTAAATCTATAAAAAAAACTGTGAATATATTCTTGGAATAAATGTCTTCAAAGCATAGTAGCAGACATATTTTTGAGTTGATTTTTTGACGATTTGAGGAAATTCCATCATTCACTGGTTCTGGAGCCCCCCCTCAGGCAAAAAGCACCCTGGGACTTGACTTTGACCTGCAGGACATTAACCTCATACCGAGTACGCTCCCTGGTGAGGAGCTGGAGGTCAAAAAGTCCTGACAGGTCAAAGTCTTCAGGGGGTTTCATTTTGTCAGATCCCTCCTTGTCCTCCCAGACCAAGCATCTTCTAGAGAGGCAGAAGCAGTCGGCCTAATCCAGAATGCGTCACCCAAAGCCTGGGACTCACCTGGTTTCTCTAGCCCAGGTCCACTCAGCTTAGTTTGGGTTTGAATCCCATCAATGTCCCCTGTCACTGTGCCCAGGCTCAGGGGAGGAGGGAGGTGGAGGGAAGAGGGTAGGGAGGCGGCGGGATGAGGTGGGCGGGCAGTGAGGGAGTGGGGAAGGTGGGCGGAGGAGCAGTGCTGGGAGGTGGAAGGAGGAGGGAGCAGTTGCTCCACTTGTCTACGCATGAACCTCTCCTTCTCCAGCTGCCTACGCAACCGCTTATTCTCCCCGCTGAGGGTGTTTAACTGGAGAGAGAAAGAAAGAGACACTGAGTGAGACAAATGCTCAGAGGAAGAAATGGACAGGCAAAGTGAATAGGAATACTAAAAAAATACTTTTGGAAGGAAACCTTCATGTGTGGCAGTGCAGCAGACTGAGGGAGCAGGGAACAGGGACAATTTAACAAATTAAAAAAAGGAAAATTTGAAGTTACCAATAGTATCAACCATCAAAAGTCAACAGCTATCAAGGTGATGAAGTAGCTGACATCCCATTATGTGCTTAATTCATCTTTCACAGTTACTTTCACGCTTGTTGAAACAGAAATGCAAAGGAAAACTGTGAGAGGAGAGTATTGTGCTCACAGTTTGAAATGGTTGCAAGTGGGAGTCACGCGACGGTGTAAATTTCTACATGAAAACAACCAATTTGAGCAATCATTAGAGGTCGGTTTGACACAAAATCATCCGTGACACAAAACAAATCCTACACCGTCAGAACATGATTGGGCTCCCTGAAACACAATTACAGACTAGCTAAATTGAGGGTGTTTTATTTTTTGACAAGGACATTTGGGTGAAGGCAGGGAGGAGTGAGTTAAAAATGTGGCTTTAAATGCAAAAAAATAAAAAATATAAAAAGCATTTACATTTGTTGTACAGCGTGGTAATTATATGCAAAATGTGCCAGTCTAAAAATTGTAATAAGGCAGATAAAAGGGAATAAGAGATTTGAAATAACGTATTTTTAGCTATGAGGAAGAGTAAAATAAGAAATTAAAGGACGGAGAGACAAAGAGACACGTCGGGTAATGACAGTTGCACTCATCCACATCTGCTTTTTTTTTAATGTGTGTGTGTGTGTGTGTGTGTGTGTGTGTGTGTGTGTGAAAGCTGCAGTTAAAGAATGATGTCACATCGACATGTCTGGCCATGTGTGTGCATGTGTTATGTGTGTGTGTTAGGGAGAAAGAAAAACACAAACGGAGATGAGACAGACACATTTCCGGACGGTTCTGCTAACATTACCCTTCCAGACATAACACACACGCACACACACGCGCAGAAATGTATTACATCTGTGAATAGGAATAGCAAGGTCTTAGGCTTAACCCTGAAGAGCCAATGACATGAAGATGTGTCAAAACTATCCTAAGATGCTTAAAGTCTATTTACTACCTTCAACAGGCAAACATCCTACAACATGTTCATTTTATGTTATGCCAAAAGCAATAGAATTTCTAGATGAAAAACACTGAGGCTGACATTTATAATTAACAGTATATTCAAGGGGACCTGCTTAATTTTCCTCGTCTTTGGTTGCTCTGGATGCTTTCCTAATTGCGAGTGAGGGGGGGTTGAAATTAAAAATCACAGCTTGTCTCCTCAACCTTCACATACGGAGGCTGAACTGGTGTGCATATGTTCGGATGAAAAGGATGTGTATAAGTGAGGGAGAAAGAAAGAAAGAAAGGGACAGACTGAAAGACACGGGGGGGGGCTATTGCTGGTGCACGAGTGTGTTTTTCATTTGTAAAGCCGGGTTTCCATTCAAGTATTTCAATAAAAAATTATGAAAATGACAGAGCTAGAAAAGCTCACTGTCACTGGCAAAAAAGTTTGAACGTGTGGTTATTTGGAAATGGGATTTTGGCTCCGCTGGTTCAGGATGATCTGCCCACTGAAACAGTACAAAAGTACTCTGCCGTCATCACTGTAGTGAAGGGTGTACCGAAATATTGCCTCATTCATCTCTTTTTCATCTTTGCATGAAAGCATGAAACGACCTGGACATTAGCTGACACTAAAGCACAATAACAGCTTGCCTAATGCTGATCAAGTCTTGAAAGAATCTCATTTTTTTCCCCTGCTGATGTTCATCTTCATCCCAGTTGATGGAAAATCACTTAATTCGCCTCTAATTTTGTGTGACATTTCAAAAGTTTGCATGAAATTAGCTTGACAGTCGGATGGAAAGCGTGTGTGTTGTATAGCGAGTGTTAATGTGCGCCCGAGGGTGAGTGAGAAAGCAACAGCACCAAACCAGTTTGTGACTATGAGTAAATGAGACTGATTCAAAGCAGAGACACAGACCTGACTTATAACCCAACGCCTTTCACAGAGATAAACTGAAACATTCCATTCAGCTTCTCTACTGATATCTGTATGTGTACGCAAGTGTGTATATGTGTGTGACCAGCAGACAGTGGAGGGAATAGCCTTGTGTAAATGAACTGTCTGGCTATCCTTTCCAGCTGTGCTCGCATGTATGTGTGTGCAGGCTGTCCATGTTAGATCGATGTGTGTAATGATTCACACCAGAGATTAAGAGGTGCTATTACACACCTGAACTGTTAAACAACACCTCTCCTTCTCTCTGTGTCTGTCTCCTCCTCTGCTCCACCTTCCTCTGTCTCATACATGCAGCTAATGCCATTTGCCTTTTCACTGAAAAACAATATAAAAACTTCAACAAGTACCAGCTTTCGTTGCACCCCGTCAATCAGCGGGCCATTTCGCAGACTAACAAAAGTCGGGTGAGCCGTTCCCCAGGCCCTGGAGTTTGGAGAACTGAGGGGGCTGAGGAGTACTTTTGATTCGTCTCTCCTTTGGTGATTTGTTGACTCTTGTGAAGTTCAACACAGTAAAAAATGTCAGCTTTTCCTCAGAATATTCCTCTGTGTTTTTTCCTCTACATTGTTTTATCACAGCGGGCCATTTCCCTACGCTGTCATGGAGAGATCAGCATGGCTGTATTGATATACATCCCTCTCTCAGTGTCATGAAAGGGAAATCATTTACCAGTGGAAAGAAACGTCACTGCTTTTTCCCCGATACGATTTGTCCCCCCTTCCCCGCGCCGCGCACCCCCGCCCCGCTGCCGACTTTTCACTTTTATCGTTGGAAGAGGAAATGGATGTCTGTGTGTAAGTGCGCGTGTGTGTTTGAAGTTGGACGCATGAAAGCTTCCTCTTCTGTGTGAGCTCAACAGCAGGTGGGCCAGCGTGTGGGTGTGTGTTTGTATCTGTCGGGTAAAAGGACTGCCAGGACCTGGTGTGTGTGTGTGTGTGTGTGTATATACGTGTGTACTCTTACTTGTTGATTTAGCATTCTGATGGCCTCCAGGTTGCTTCGCAGTCTGGTCTGCATGTCCTCGATTTTGGTGAGATTTAGAGCCACATAACCCTGTTTTTCAATGCTGTAACATAAGCATATGCACACACACAAAGGAACATAAATGACAAGTGAACTGGCGTATTTCCAGTAAATCTTAGCACCTGTAGTAGTTTAAGAAAACAGAATAATGAAAACTAAAGACTCATGTGTACCATATATAATAACTATACACTTGCTCCTGTCATGGTAAACATTTATACTCCAGGATTTTTGCACAATGATATGCATTTGTGAGACAAAACAGTTCCAATCAAATGTTCTCAAAATCTGGGGCATAAAGAAGTTGGCGTACATCATCTTCATTATAACCTATTACTAAATTCAAAGATGGGTGAGCAAATGGGTTCCAGAAATCATTAAATTATATATGAAAGCGCACACAAAAAGGGGGGAAAAAATACAAAAACAAAATGAACGCAACCGCAGCCAGGGAACATTAAGAGTACAAGAAGCCATTTAAGATTTTAACTGTTTATTAAAATGTTTTGGGAAATGACAAACAAATGTTAGGGTCTCCTATCTTCAGACCCAGGGCTGACTTAAGGAATGTCTATTAAATTAACGACGGTGGATAATGGTGCTCTGTACGGGCTGAGGAGCTTGCTGCCCCCGCTTTACGCTCTTTCTTTCATGCCCCAGTGAACCTGTCCAGTTAGCATTTGGAAAAAAACATCTAAATACTTTATTGAAGACTTCTTAGTCCATTCAAGTACCACTGTACCTTCCCAATGTTAATTTTCTTGTAAAAGAGCAAGCTGGGATTTTCTATCAGAGCAGCGGATGGGAAGATGGTCCCGTTTTGCTTCAGTTGAGAAGACGCACACGCTCATCAAAAGGCTAATAAATGGCATTATTGTTCCTGGAGATGTGGGTGAGCTAACGTACACACGCACTCACGCAAATGTTTGGCCCTATTAGCCATAACTTAAAACATTTAAGATCTGAGGAGACACTTGAGGGAGATGCTGATGTGAACTGACATTTTTGTCTGAAAAGTTTATGAGATTCATTAGGGAAACAATTCAGCTCCCTTGTATTTGTAACCATATTAGGTAAAAAATCAACCAGGAGACCATAACAACAACATAAAAAATTGTGACAGGAACACCACTGCATAAAAACGCTTTCCACTGTCCTATCCCCACAACCTCTTGACTGGGATTTCTCTTTTGGTTTTGATTTTTCTATAGATAATGATCCAACCTTAAGTTACAGTACATTTCTAAACAGTAAAAATAAAAACCCACTGATCCTGAATGAAGCACTGACCCAATGTGTATATATATATATATATAAGAGAGAAAGATATTTTTGTATTTTTTGAGAAAAAATATATAAAATCATGATAATTAATATGAAAAGTACATATACCAGCTGACAGAACATAATCTGAATCACTGCTTATTAAGCAACCAACTAATTAAGCTTGGCCAATGTAAGCAAGTTTTTTAAAGAAACCTCATTTTCTGAAAATGACATTCATAAACTGAATATAATTGCAGCCGACCCTTCCAAATCATTTAATTTCACACCACAACGATGATACAAAGAACATTAATAAGAAGAAATGCTGACATTTCCTTTGATCTTTTAAATTGTAAATGCCTTTTAAAAGACGTGTTCCCATTGCTATGGCGAAGGAAAAACAGGAGGCATAGGCCAACTTCATAAAATCCGAGTGCCACATCTCCACAGATTCTTCACATGATTTAAACTCTTTCCTAGATGGTAATGTGGTCTTCAGCAGATCATGAAACATCACCACCGCTGAGACAACTGTGTGAGATTTATGCGCCCGATGTGAGAAGGCAGTGATGCGCTGAGCACTTGGCATGACGCCTGTGTAAACATGTGTCCCTGTGTTTACACGCAAATATGGATGTGTGCAATTAGCGGCCTAACCCAATCAGTGTGTGTATAATCACAGCCATTAGTGTCGAAGCCAAGCTGCCATGCTCTCTAAACCAGGCAATAAACTACATGGTTCCTCTCCATCTCCAATCTCACTCCCATCTTTCTTATTTACTGCTCTCATCTCAAATTTTATGCAATACTTGACTGTCTTCTCTCACAGCCTCGTTCTTATCTCCTCTTTCGTTTCTCTGTGTCACTTAGCTCCCTGTGTCTGTACAAATGCTCTGCTGTGATCACTGGGTGCTCTTAATTGGAAGCACATTGTTAGTGGTGCGACTGATGAAGCCTGATGCTTTATGAACGCTTCGCCCACATGGGTTGTGTCAGACAGTCACAGCAAACGGAAACAATCTCTGCTTCCACCACTTAGTGCATTTCAGTGTGCAGTTGTATTTTAATATATTCAGACGTGAGATAATTTGAGGTGAAATGTGAAAGATTCTGATAACAGATCATTTAATTAATTTGCGACTGGAATAAAATTGCTGTTGGGAAACACACATTTGCATCTTCTCTGTGTTGAAATGCATGCCATTTGGATTTCAGAGCAAACCTAAAGTAGTAAAATTGGCATACACAGGAACCATTTTTGCATTGTAAGGGCTGCTGCCAGAGCTCATTCATCTTCTTGCCCTTCCTATTAAACACTTCTGGAGTGAAGACAGGGAAAGAAAGGGGGGACAAGTAGCACCCCTTCCTCCTCCCTATTCAAAAAGAAGGATTTGGAAACCAGTAGCACTTTGGAGAAGGTTTTTACATGCACATTGAACAACATGACCATGATCTGTAGGCATTTGATAAGGTCGTTGATTGATACCAAGACTGTTACTTCAGGTAGTGCCTTCATTGTGCAATTAGGACTGCAACAGATTTGAGCTATTAAGGCTAATGTTTATTTGCCCCTTTTTGCATTCTCAATCCAATAAATTTTTTTCAGAACAACAGGCATCTTATATCTGTAGTTTTAGCTGTCACTGCTTCGTCTTGGTGAGATTCTTTTCTCACAACTGTTTCCAAGGTACAAGAAGAACTTTGTACCTCAGCTTGTAAGTCAATATTAATGAGAAATCCTTACGGTGCACAGAAAAAATGTATATTTGAACAGCTACAGCTACAGTTCCATGGCAACTGGACAACTCCATCTGCTGAGGAGGATTATGTGTTATGACTGCTACTGAATGGATCTGGAAAGCTGAGATGCGGAGCACAGTTTGTAGTTACGTGTAGACACGCTTTGTGCCGAAACGTTTGAACTGTGAGTGCTCAGACATATCTTTGTCCTTAAGCTAGAAAATGGACCTCATGGTGGTTGTCATTTTTATCAACTTCTGATATTTTATGCGTTAAATTGCAGCAGCATCGGCCAACAAGGCCATACAATTGTCAGAAGATAGGGATGCAAACAAAACCACCAATACAGACTTGTTCTTGACTTAGATTTACATTTGTGTGCTAATTTTGCATATTTAATTTACATCCTTGAAATTGGTAATACACACTTATGCTATGCCTAAAATGACTTCTCTAAATAAAACCGAGGCCTGTTTCTTTTATCAATCTAATTGTCAATCTTCTCCGTTCCTCTTTTCGTCACCTTTCCGTGGGCTTTAATCGTACAAAATGCCAGCCGCAGTGTGAAGCCGTGACACTCCAGCTGCTTTCGAACAGTAGGCCATGTAATCATAATACATTTCTTTAATAAAGGCATATCTAATGACAAAACCTTCATGCCGTGTTGATTGCTGTCACTGATAGTGACAGTCAAGATTTCCCCTTTGCTACCAGTAATGAGATTTATACACTGAATGTATATGGCTGCCATGCAAATATCTTGACATGCCTTATAGATGCATGATTTTCATACATATGATATTTTGGGTAGATGTGTGTGTGTGTGAGGGGGGAGTACAATAATGAAATGAAATAAATTAGGAACCCTCATAATAAAGAAAAGGGGAGAGAATGGATGAGGAGATACTATGGAAGAGGCTTTCATTCACTGTTTTTATCTCGTTCCATGTTATTATATTCACTCAATCACAAACCCTCTTATGCATACATCTATATGAACTGCCTCTCTCGCTCTGTCCCTCTCTCTCCCTTATTCGCAATTATGAGGGAAAGACAAAGAAAAGCGATTCATCTTTCTGTCGCGGCCCCTTAATGATATCATTAAAATGACTGACAGCTTTGAATAGCATTGGAAACCTACCCCAGTCAAAACAAATCTGATCCGTTTTGGAAACAGAGCCTGGTGGTTCGTTAGGGGAGGGGTGCAACATGAGCGTGTGTGTAAAATGGGGTGATGTGGGTGGGTGGTGGGGGGCGTTGTTAATGAGGGAGACCTTAGGGCGTCACACTGGGGGTAAGGGGAGTACTGCTGCAGGCAGGTGCCCCCCACAAACACCCTCTCACACGCAGAGCCCCCCTCCTTTCTCACTTCCATCCTACCCCAATCCCATCCGTGCCACATTCATTTTAATTACCTTAATGAACATAATAAATATATCTGCTCTCTATTGATGAATGCTATTTGGCAGCCATGGGGGTGGCAGGCACGAGAGGATGAGCCCTTGATTGGAGTGTAATCATTGTTAAAGGCCCAGCATGAATAACATATTCAGATTGAAGTGACATAACGCGCGCACACACACGGACACACACAGGTGGCTAGGCCCACAGGGTGTTTCATTCACAACTTGGCACTCCAGCTGTTATTATCATCATCAGCTTTGTTCGGGCTAGATTGGGTGTGAAAGAATGAAACATGGTGGGCAGCACTTTTGTGAGATGCGAATGCTAAAATTCTGATCAGCTGGTGGATGCACACACATGCATGCACTTATATGTAAGATCACACACGCTCACACACACACACACACACACACACACACACACACAGATGACTCACGTTCTCTCATCTCGCCGGATGCTCTGGTCTCGGACCTGGGCCTGCAAATAATTATAAAATGAAAAACAAACCTGTTTGTGATCGACTTTCTTTTGTCTCTCCCTATTTGTAGTTCATTGCTTTCCCACTCTGCACTTGTTCACCTTGAAGTGTTCCATGTCTCTCTCCTTCTCATCCGCCACTTCTTTCAGTCTCTTTACCTCCGCCTTCAATGTGTCATTAGCCTCCTGAAGATGTCTGACAAAGCCAGGGAGACGCAAAGACAAAGTTAAACAGAGAAATATACACAGAGAAAGACAGACACCAATTACCATCAAGAGACTCTTGTTAACATGGTCGACAAAATATTCTGCCACACAACGGCAATGGCGTCTGTGTTTCTCTCCATCCGGAACAGCCTTTAACTAGCAGCTCAGATGTTATTTCTGACACACAAACATACCACGACCCATTATAATGAAATGCTATACAGTATTTATCACTTACCCTTTTGGCTATTTATTTCAGTATTTCGTCATGCCACCAATTTTCAGTATCCGGAAGTATTAAAACAAATTGTTATTCAGATGTTCATTGTACTACTATACTACACATTAGAAGCACAAAATAGTTTTATTTAACAGGAGGGGAGGTAGAAATATCACATTTCTGTACATTCAGGGAAGGTGCAAAGTATAAGGAGGACACGTTTTATGAAAGATCACTTCACATGCCCCATGTGCTCCAGGTGTATAGAGACTGTTACCATTGCTACAGGTTACCATAACACAAAATTAAGAACAAAACACACAAACACCCGGTGTAAGTTAAGCGAGAGAGAGAGGAAACGGCAGACACAGATGGTGTTGCTGGGCGGGGCTGAGGGAGGTATGGCACCGCAGGGGGGTGGGATGACAGGAGATGGCTAGACCGCTTTGATCTCTGCAAATAGGAATATGTCACGCCCATGTCTGTGTGTGTGCGTGTGAGTCATGATGATGCAGACATGCAGATAGACTGTCAGGTGCGAGTATGTCAAGGAGTCCACCTGAATCACTCCAACACATGCACAGAAACACATACTACACAAAAACAAACACCACCACATCCCCCACACACATTACTGTATATGCTAGGGATGTGCATCTCAATGCGTTGTCAACACAATTTTATTTAACACAATGTGATTCAATGCGATATGACATGATGCAAAACAGTTATCAAACACTATGCTATAGAGAGTTTGGTTTTGGGTTTTTTGGATTGTATTACTCATAAATTAACTAAATTATAAATTACTTAACATATTTGTTTCTCTAGTACAGCAACTCTGTAAGCATCTCATTCTCGTTCTCTGTCTCCAGTTACACTTTTATAACCCCTCACACATTTAACAGTTAAACAATTTAAGAAAGCTGCAATACTTTGCTCACCAGTCTTTCTAGCGGTACCTCTGGGGCAGGACATTACCGCGCTTACACCATGTCGCCGCTTCAGGTGAGTTTAGTTTAGAGTTTAGGTTTGTCGCGCTGCCTGTGTACTTTATTTTACTTTTACTTTAGCGGCACAGCATATTTTACAAATTGCATGTGTCTTGTCTCTCTTGAAAAATCTGAAGTGTCTCCAAACATTTGATTTGTAGGAATTCAGAGGAACGTGTTGATTTTTCTCCTCCATGCTAATCTAATGAGACATGTCTACGGCCTCTGTAGTCATTGGTCCATTTTCAAATAATAAAGGCATAGGGACTCGACTAATAACTGTTTATAAATAAATCGGATTTCACCGATTCAAAGACGTTAGAAACAATATGAGTTCATCCTAGATAACTGGTAAATCTTACCATCCCTAGTATATACACACACACATACAAACACACACACATTCACAAACTCTTCGGGTGGGAAAGGTGACCTAGTTTCGGGTGTAGCGGGTTTAGCAAACAAATACATTGCACACACACACAGATGCCCACACACAAACAAAAATTCACTCATTGATAAACTAGTGTACTGAAAAACTCTCAAATAAATACTCACTCTTTCTCCTCAGTGACGATGAGCAGCACCTTGTTTTGGGCCTTCATCTGGGCAGTGAGACTCTCATTGGAAGACCTGAGAAGTGAAGACAGGCTTCTGAAATCTAATGATGAATGTTAAAACTACCCCTGCCAGTTTAACAGTAACTGTCTTTTGCATCTATCACTAATGCAAAATATACACTACACACACACATTATCAACAAAAAATTAACAGAAAACCAGAAAACACTGATAAGTTGATTTTAATAGGTTTTGCAAATGTGTAAAAAAAAACACCCACATGGCAGTGTAAGTGTGGTCATACTTTTGTTCAGTAATCCAACGGTTGACATTAGTCATGACCAACTGGCTCTCATGGCGAAGGTTTGCATTGTCAGAACGTGACCCCTCCAGCTCCGAGCGGAGGGTGTCCACCTACAACACACAATCAAATATTATCCATCACACTGTGAGGCGTCATACAACAATGTAAAATGCTGTGCATAGTTTTTCCACCTCTAATTAGATATTTTCCTAGCTTTAAAAACACCTTACCTATTCTGTTTCTGGATTCGTGGTGTACAAAAACTGCAAGACCAACATTCACTCCATCGCTGTCTTAATGTACTTTAGTTAAAACAGAGGTGTGCAGGTTAAAATATTACTTCTTTCAAGGAAAGTATTCACATCTAACACTGGCTTTCCACATTTAGATGTGTTTTAAGTCTCTCTCTCACCCTACACACACACACACACACACAGTCATGCCAAAGTGTGAAATAAAGAAAGGTAAAAATGGGATAAATGAGGCTCTAATAGATGGGAAGCAAGGACAGGGTGAAATAAATGTCAAAAATAGAGCGTAATAGCAACACAAGAGAAAAATTAGGTAAATGGAGAATAATGGGGGATGAAAGAGATGGTATTTGCAGACGCAGGTATGAATAGCAGGGTGAGGTATTAGGCAAGTGCAAAGGAGGAAAGATGGAGGATGGGGGAGAGCAGAAGCAGACTGGAGACAAGATTGGAGAGAGGAGACGACGGGTGAGGGGTGAAAACAGGGATGGGATGGCACTGGCCAAACTGCTGACTTTTTCATTCTGCTTATCAGTCAGGACCTTTCCAGCCCTAAACTCCAGGGAACCCTGACACATTACCCTTATCGCCATAGAAACACCTTGATATACCATCCCATCTTCCCACAAAGACTTGGGCAAACATGAAAAAAAAGTTTGCTATATGTGGGCTATGATTTAAGTATCCAAAAATGTCCCATGATTAACCTAAAATGTCAAAATATCAACTGCTGTGTGAGCTGAATCACATACTGTGTGCATGTGTGTGTATGTCTGTATGTGCATTTTCAATACCATACCTATACCAAAATATTTTCCTGTTGATGTTCATCTGGAATACACCACAGAGGTAAATAAGATAATGACACACTGTCGATGCAGAGCTGAATGAAAAACAAATAGTATGCTGGAGTAATCAAAAAAGTGATTATGACAAACAAGCATTCTTCATTTCATCATCAAATGGCTTCAGTAGGAGGATACGAGTGAAGATTAAAAATAAAATAGAGATGACCTGTCTGTAGTCTTCACAAAGTCTGGCAACTTAGTGTCTTTTTGTTGATCTTGTGATTGTTGGTGGTTGAACAGCATGTCTATATAAATTATTCAAACTCCTGTGGGTCACACCCAAATGGGTAACAGGACTACCGCTTATGCACCCTAAAGTTAAATGCTTTTAGTTGCATGAGGTCCAAGTCTTTTAAGTTATTTATAACTTTACCTAACAGAAGATAGTCTTTAATGTCTATACCGAGTGAGCACTGGGCTACAAAGTGGGCAGCCAGTATAAACGTTGACCAGTTGACCAGTTAACCAGTTAACAAGTTAACCGGTCACATTTGTTATAAAATCTTACGACAGCGTCACAGGATTTGCTTGTTGTGTTCTATTTCAGCAAAATGTGCAATCTAATATTAAAATCAAATGGTTTAGAAATTGACACTAAATGGAAAAACACTGCTAAATGAGCCAGTGCTGTACCAGTTTTGTTAATATCTGATGCATGTGTTGGATAAACGAACACACTGCAGGGCTGCCAGGGTTTGGTCAAAAGGAAAACAGAAAGGTTTGACTTTGTCTAATATTTACAAAGTCTGTGTGAGACACAGGACATGGGCAACCTCCCATTTGTCACGATAATGTGAGATGATAAAGGTGCAGTTCAAAAAGAGAATGATCCTTCAACTGCACAAATGAATAGGCTGCCTTATGACGTGATAGGAAGTGGTGAAGATGACACATAATCAATCATTTAAATTTCATAACATGATGAAGAATTACACTTTTAACCACATTTAGATTAAGGAAGGTCTGCATTTCAGCAAATAAAGCAGTGAAGAAAAACTGGGGGAGCAATGACATTACATCAAGCAAATCATTCAATTCTGAAGAGTAAACTGAGTCAGAGATTCAATTGTAATTAAATTTACCAACAATGGAATAAATATTGCGACTCCCCTGTTGTTTGTGATTTCATTCCTGTTTTGTCTCATGCACCGACACACCTTCATGTGAAGGAAGTTCTGTTGTGAACTTATTGGCCAAAACAGCACGTTAATGTTCCAATATTAATTATATACACAAAAATATCAAACCGCGCCAGTCAAAGGCTCAAAACACACCCACACTCACAATGAGCAGGCACACACTGCCGCATGCACGAGCATACACACACACAGAAACACACACACACACACACACACACACACACACACAGGCAGGGTCCGTGGCGCGCTGTAATGACAGTAATTACCTGTGGTCTCACATTAACATCTCCCTCCTGACTGTCTGACTGGCTCGGCTGGTGGAGGGATGTAAATCGCAGCGCTAGTCTGATGTTGTGATTAGGACTAAATTACACACCAACACTCTGTTTCCACCAGTGTCAAGGGAGGCAGTGAAAGTGTGTGTGTGTGTATGTGTGAGAAAGAGGGGGAGAGTGTGAGAGAGAGACAGACAGGGACATTTAGAGAAAAGGGGGACAAAGGAGTTGCGATTGCAAGCGGGGGAGGAGTAAAGTAGCATACCTGCTTAACATTTAGATTGGTTTTGTTGCACAAATATTTTAGCAGATGATGGGGGCTAAAAGGGGCAACAAAACGCATTTGGGACACACTTATAACCAAGTTTGGTGATACCACTGGCCCTTTCAGGTCCAGGCTAAAGAATATGAGTTGACTACTGCAGTGCTGGTGAAGGATTTGGAATCTTTACAGTTGCTGCAACAGTATTTATCATTTTGATGGTTTATTCTATCAAAATAAGGCAGAGTTGTCCAGTCCACAGCCCACACTTTTCACTGACAATAGATACAAGGTGGACTCGCACGATATTTTTCTTTTTAACTTACATCTGAATGAACTTTCATGACAAACCACAAAGCATACCTGCAGACAGAAGAAATAAATAAAAGATTGTGGGGACTTTAGCAGTTAATGGATTTTCCATCTTTTCTATTCTCCTTGGAGCTGCGAAACGGTATCGCATTGCACATTAGCTGTACAGGACAAAGGTGAATTTTCACTAAAACAGACCAAACTCTCCAAGGTCGCAGGATAAACATAATTCAAAGTTAACTTCTCTGTGTAAAGAGGGGAGCACGAAGATGAGGGGAAAAAATCAGAAACAGATAGCCTGCTTGTTGCTACCATCGCCATCAAACCGCCAGAGCTGAATACGAGCCATTACTCTGTTCCACTCAGCTCATCAGAGCACATCCTCTCATCAAATTAATGAACACATTTATTGTTAAACACGTTTTTATAAAACATTCATTCATTCTGTCTAATTAAAAGACCCAACAGGCCTGACATCACTTAAATATGCATACTTATCACTCACAGGGTCTGAATTAAAGATCTACAAGCGTGTGTGTGCGTCTGTGTGTGTGTACTGTATGCGTGCATGTACGATGGCAGGAGAGAATGAGGTTTCCTAAGCAGGTCTTCTCACTCTAGACTTAATGGTGATAATCATGGCGTGACCCAACATTAAGACCGTGTGTGCATGTGTTTGTGTGTGTCCCACTCTCCCTAATGGTGACGATGATGACATGTTCTCCATTAGACTAGTCAGTGGGCCACAGCAGATGTAGCATATTAATGATGCTGATGATGGCTTCTTTAATTACCTTCATCTACCGCTGTATGGCCTGACTCCTTTCCCCGAGTCCTTTCATCACACACTCTCCTACGCATGCTGCTGGGGTTGTTTATCAGTGTCTGCCATTATTGAAGTCCCCTATCTTGCATCTAGCCTGCACTACATTACCAGCCTTGGTAGACATTTTACAACCACTTCCCAGCTACATGAATTTCCCCACATCTAGTAGGTATCCTTTTAATGTATAAAACCAACTCAGGCTAGCTTTTTGGGTGCAGACCGAAATGTGTCCATATCGCTTAATGTCAGGAACTGCCAAACAAAGAAAGGTGGCAAAGAATGCTTGTGCAGGTTCATAATCTTCTTTACTTAGCCTTTGATCAGACGGTTTCTAGATTAAATCATGAAAGTGCCAAATTTGGACAAAGTTTTATTTAGGAGCAAGTTCTTGCAAGGATGCTTGTTTTAGGTAACATTTAGCTTTTGAGACAGCTGGCTTCTTTTGTTATTGAAAAATAATGTTTTGTAGAAAAATAAGCATAAAATGATCAAGTAAGGTATACAAAAAAGGTACTTTTTTGGCATTGTACTAAATTCAGTTATCATGTCAGTGTAACTGGTATCATTTGAAACAATACCCAACTTGAGAAGTAACTCGATTTCATGGTGTTATTCCACAGATTCTGCATTAGCTAGGGTTAGTTAGTTCTTGAGGTTGTGCAGCTTCTAAGACTGCTATATTTGTTGGTAACCTCCAACAATAGAAAGCTATAAACAGAATGGGTTCTGGATGTGAAGGATTCCTATTTGGCAGCGTGGCCTGTGTTCAGTTGTCCAGGCGACCAGCCTCCAACAGTGCTTAGCTGACAGCAGCAACACAAAAGAACAATTTTAGGTTTTTATTGTTGTTGTATTGTTTAGTGATGAGTTGATGCAGTTTGGACAAACACAGTCAGCCTGTTGCAAATAACTGTAACAAACAACATGTGCTTTGCTTTTCCTATATTTTCTTATATTTTTTCAGCACCTTAATAAAATGTTGGAATATGAAAAAAACATATAAGAGTAGGAGGCCTTTATTCATAATTAGTTAATTTCTCATACATGATTGATTTGCAGGAAACTATTTCTGCCCACAAAACAATGTGTCAAGGCCAATCTCTTTCTAGAGGCCCTAAGTTCACTTGACAGTGCAGTGGAGCAGCCCAAAACTCAGCAATACTGGGTCATCAGTCAACATCATACTATTCAATTGTGGTATAATATTACATGTTCTCCTGGACAGACATGTTTATATTAGATGTGGGCCATGATTAACTAAAAAAGAAAAAGAAAAGAAAGTATGCTGCTGTGACAAAATATTGAAATGAAAAATTTCAGCTAATAATTCTTTATTCTTTGGTTCTAAGATTGAATGGGGTGATATCACACAGCTCTTTTTGGAATTTGTGAGTATTATACAAAAATATTTCTAACGTTAGCCAGAGTCACAAACAAAAGTGAAAAGTCTGAACTCTGACATGAATTTGCCTTTGTATCTTGCTAAAACTAACAACTTTAGAAGCTTAACTATAGAAGTTTTAGTAATACAACACTTTTCTATAAAAAAACAATGTCTATAAAACTAAACTTTACTTTATCTATAAAACTAAACTTTAAGAATGAGAGAGAAACAACCTTTAAATATGTATGTACCTATGTCACATTTTTCTCTCTTCTTCTTTCTTGCGCTAAAAGTCACCACGCCCCTCCCGCGAACCTTTGCATGCAGCAGCTTTTTCATAGTTCATCCAGAAACACAGACAGGCCATGTGTCTGTGTCTTTGGTGAAGAAGGCCATGTGTGACAGGTGGGAAGGACACAGAAAGTTATGGAGACAACATGAGAAAAAAGGTGGTCAGTTTGTCTGCTCGACTGTCCGTCCCGTCTCTCAAATGAATTACAGGGCTGTAGCTTAATGAGCTGTGTTTGAGGGTGACTGGACACAAGGACACACATGCACACACACACACACTGAACTAATACAAAGTCCATTCCATGGTTAAACAGTCAGACAATTGGACCACTTCTCTTTATTCATCAACTAAACAAATGAGCTTCATTTGTCTGTCCTCATTTCTTCGCCATCAAACCTGTGTGTGTGCGTATGTAAAAATGGTGATGTAGTGTGGGTCATTCTAAGCTAATTAGGCCAGGCTTGGGGCTTCTATCTGGTATAACGAGGGAGATCAATGAACAGATAAGACCGTTCCAGAGAGCAGCTCTCTCTGGCATCACCACAATGAAAATACCACACTCTCATGTTTGCGAAGCCCCCCCCCCGACACATCCACATTTCAAATTAAAACAAACACAGAAGCTTACAGGTGAGGATGTACATTTGTGCACCTTACTCAAAAATGATTAGATATCAGCAACGTTACCCAGTTAAATAACGTCTATCACTGCTGGAGTGGTGAAGAAAATGGAGGAAACTAGGCAGACAGGCCCACCTTCGCGTCCAACTAATGTGCAGAAAAAAACAGCGCCTTGGAGCTTTTTATGATTCAAAGTCTTGCTCAAGGATACTTCAACATGGGCCAGCTTGTCTCTCTAATCACTACGCAGGCACCACACTGATTCAGAGTGATTAAAAGCTACTGTCTAATCGTATATCTATAGGATGACATCAACAGCTGTAAAGATTTTGGGCAAGTAAGAAAAGTTTATGGGAATGAAAACATGCTCATAAACTTTTGCTATCTGAAAACCTCTCTGCAAATTCTCATTAAAACTGTTTGAAATCTTTTGCTCCATGCTGAAAGAAGTTGAGGTAAACACACTAATGACTGTGATTGTGTGTGTGTGTGTGTGTGTGTGTGTGTGTGTGTGTGTGTGTGTGTGGCATAGAGAGAGTGAGGGAGAGGGATGATCTGATCAGTCACAAAAACATGCCTCGTGTTTACCACGACTCGTATTTGAACCGGACTCACGCAGGGGGACGGGATTGAGTGAAGTGTGCGTGTCTGTGCCTGTGTGTGGTGAGCGGCATACATGCAAGCTCAAAATGGATGGCAACATGCAAATCCTTTTCTTCATATCAGGAAAGAAACATTAAACAGAAAACACAAACAAGACTGCGTACAACACTCACACCCCAAAATACGCACATACACACAGTGTGCATTCAAAGACATACACACAGAGAAAGACAGAGCTATCAGAGGTTCAGCTACTGTGCACCGAGGCAATTTGTAATATAGATTTCCTCTATAGGCCACTGTAGTGTGCCATTTACCATTTCAAACCCTTTGATTTTTATCACCAGCGGATAATTCATCTTCTGCTGGTCAATAACAGAGATTGGGACCTAATGAAGGAGTCATAATCAAAACGGTCATCACACTGGTGTTTAAACACTTTTTGGAGTCATATTCATCGAAAATCTCATCTGTTGTTGAGATGATGGAAAACAGCAAGAATGCAAAGGGGAACCGTGAGGGATTGTGTGACTCGGCAGACAGAGATAACACTTACACAAAGACATACAGGTAAGCATATACAAAACAGTTTACTAGGGGTTACTTTACTAAGAGGTTCTAGGTGTATTTTCTTACATTTGGACTAATCTGCTACTGAGCAGATATGAGAGCTGTATTGATCTTCTCACTCTTAGCAAAAAAGAGAATAAGAAATATGAAACTATTCCTTTAAGAACAGGAAATCTTGAGCTGGAGTAGTCTGAAAATTGAGTCTGCAAATAGTGAAAACGGTTTTAGCACGGGGCTGGGTGACATCTCAATATTATTCTTTACTGACTTTCAGTGAAATGGTATTGTGATGATACGATCACATCATGCTGTCATAACCCAAATGAATTATTCAAAGCAAGTTGTAACTGAAACTAACAAAATGGGTTATTGAAGTTCTTGTTTTACGTGTCTGAAGAGTTCTGACTGATGCAATACGTGACAGTGATACAGTTCATTGTATTGATCATGAAGTTGATTATTTTATATATTTTTGCCATCTTGATTTATATCAATGTCAGAAAAAAATGCTCATTAATATTTTGACATTGATTGCAACCATATCAACAGTTTAACTACCCCTATGAAACGTCCAATAAAAAAGAAACAGACCTTTACTTCATTCATACACTAGTAGCCAATGCCATGCCTTCTTTATGCAAGACGCTGACTTTATAGACCCCTGAATAACTCTGACATGTCCTGCAATATGTTTGATCAGAAATTGTACAACAAAGAAAGGGGATGAAAGGATTTTCAGCTGTTGAGAAACAGACGACTTCACAACCACTGGCTTGGCTACTGACTGACCAATCAACTGGCCAGTGCCCTGGGCAATCACGACTGTCAAACCCTGGTGCGCTAATGTTAAGAGAAAAAAAAGAGAGCCACGCTATGTGGGCTGCATTATTCACAAGGACAGAGGAAAAAAAGAGTAAGGTTAGGAGGAGTGAGTGAAAGAGAAAGAAATGGAAAGAGAGGAAGACAGGGAAATGGGTATGAAAGAACAAGTGAGAAAATAGAGGGACAGAGAACAGGAGAAGAGAGAGGGGGAAAAAAAAGAAAAGAGTAAAGAGACAAAATGCAAAATCAGGATCCAAGAGAGCACCACTGTGCACGGCAGCTTAAGATGGAACTTAAAGTTTGTCGAATCTAAATGAACATCACTTTCCCGTCCTGGCTTTACCCTTAATTATCCATTCTGCGTTTGTACAGCGGCGGCTCAGCTCTGACAACCGCTCTCCCCTGAGACCCCCTCCCCCCCACGCTCCCAGAAAGAACATTAGGGAATATCAGGGAATATTACACCCAGGAATTAACGCTCCAAATCACCTTGCCAGGTTTAGGTCCCGCATGCACCCCTCCTTCTCTTGGACAAGATAATCCGGGCTCTAGCACCGGATATATGCCACTAATCATCAAAAAGGTAAGGGCAGGAAGAGAGAAGAGGAGGGAAGGAGAGGGGAGGAAGAACTTGAAGGGCATGGGAGGAAAGGAGAGGAACATATGTGTACTAGGATTCGTGTTGATGTAGTACAGTAGTCTTGGCTCAAATATTTCTCCAACTCACTACACGTACAAAAAGGGTATGCTACAAAAATCAATACGCTGACTGGCAGGAGGATACGATAATTACATTGAAATTATATTAAGTGGTAATGTTGGTTTAGCTTGCTGTGAGTACAGACACTGTCTCAGTGGTTCAGGCTCAAAGCCGATATAAACGAACACTCCAAATCATTTGCCGAGGCTGTCACTGAGGCCTGGTGTGTATTTGTTTACCTGGTCCTGTGCATCCTGTTTCTCTCGCTCTGACTTGAGTTTGTGATCGACAGCCTGCTGAAGATCCCTCCTGAGCTCTGCCACCTCTGTCTCCAGCCTCACAGCTATTGACCTGCACACACAAAACAAAACAATTGAACTCATTGCTATGTTATTTGGTCACTATATTTAAATCAGTCCTATATCTCAACTGCAGTTTTTAAAACTTGTTCCAGTCTTTTCACATTCATTATTACCATATACGTTTCTAAAAAACAAACACATTCAATAGTATTAAATTCCAATATTAAGTTTCCTGAAAATCCACAGTGTTTAACGTTGGCCCCGGAAAGTGTGAGTATGCGTGTCTGTGTATGTGTGAGTGTGTGTGGCAGCCAAGCTAAGGGAATGTGAAGGGGATCAATATGAAGGGGTCTATTCCTGCCACGCAACTGTGCGTCTGTGTGTATGTGAGTCAGTTAGTGTCCGCAAGTGTGTGTGTACATGTGTGCGAGTGAGTTTGTGCGTGCCAGCTGCCCCGGCTACAGCGAGATCAATACGACAAATGATTACCATTTCCACAAACCTCCCTCCACAGCCTCGCTTCGGCCGCTCAGTGAGCCTCAACAGCCGCCCCCCCCCCAGCTCTCCCTCCACACACACACACACACACACACACACACACCAAAACAAACCACCCCCTACTGTTGACCCACACTTCAAAGCAAATATAAATCTGAAAAATTAAGTTTATGAATAGTAAAAATATTTGAGCCTTGTACAGATAAAAGTTTTGGGTTAGTTAGTGTATTATGGATTTTACACTTAAAACAAGAATGGCTATGCAGGGGTAGACCAGAAACTGATTGCATTCGACCATTCCTTTTTATTGGCATTTGTGTTAAATTGACACATCCAAATAATACCCCAAATTAATGCACAGTTCAATATTTACCCCTCTCACTCTATACATGTACATTTTTTAGTTAATCAATTAGTCAGTTAATTGTCAAAAAATAAAGTCCTATCACAAGTTATTTGATTTGATTGAAAGGACATGGTCATGGTAACAAAGGCATTCACTTGATGACACAAATGAAAAAAAACAAACAAATATTGACATTTAAAATGGTTGCCAATTAACTTTCAGTCAGTAGTGAAGGCATACGCAGCAACAACTTGGCAAGTTTACTGTCTTATCTTTTCAAATGATTGATAAAAGATTGAACGCATAAATTCTCAAATATATTATCTAAACAAATTGTAGTTGACTATCTGTCTGGGTCTCAACACACACGCCTAATTGACTAAATGTTTCAGCGCAAAACTCAGTGGTAGTAAAAGCTGAAGTAGAAGCAGAACCGGCAAAACAAAAAGGAAAGAAAATGCCTGATAGATTGGTCCATGGAGAGAACACATGATAGGATGAACAGAGTGGGAGAGAGAAAGGAAAGAAAGAGAGGAGGCATCCTGTGGAGAAAGGAGGGGATTTCCCACAGCACAGATGGAAGCCATTAGTATGGTGTTGTTGCTTAAAAACCTTTCATGTCTTTGCACTTATTAGATAATACTGGGTTAACAGTAAACAGCATGATTCTGCAAATGGGTATAATATGCAGACACGGCGATTGTTTTACCATTCACTACCTAAAATTGGTTTAAATGTAATAAAATGTAATAATTCAGAATGTAACCTATAAAGTCTCCATGCCGAGTTTTAAATTGCCGGTTGACGCTGAAATGTTCCATGGCTCAACTTAACCAAGAAACTCCCTAAGACGGAGACCGTTGCAGTGAGGTCATGTCGAAGCCAAAGCCACAACCACAGCTATGCGCGCGCAAACAGACACACACAAACACACACTCTACTGGGTGATACATGCTTGCTGATGTCATCACCGCAGCTCTGGTGACACACACGGGTCAACCAGGGGTCTCACCTCTGAACTCTGAACTCCGCGACCTAACATCTGCTTACCTACCGTGTCCCTGTTGATACACATCTGTTAGATCCACTCAGGAACAGAATAAAAAGACATTTTTTCAGTGCACATGCTGGGATATCCAAATCTTCAGAAATAATAATACAATGTATGATAGAAGTTAGGCATGTTGCTTTGTAGAATCTCCTAAACAACGTACGTATTAAGCGCTTAGGGCTGTTCTGTTCAACACATGTTCAGTTAAACAGCCTACTGTATGCCGCACGTAAAAAAGCTAAATGTTTTTGATTACTGAGCTTACACAGGGGACAATGGGAAATGGGATAAGAGAGGAAGCTTCTTTCCCTCTCTCCCTTCTTACCTTATTTTCTCCTCTGCTAGCTTTCCCTCAGTCAGGCACCCCTCCATCCGCCTCGCCTCTTCACCACGGGCTGCCAACTCCTCCACTGAGTAGGAGAGAGAGAGGAGAGACAGAGGGAAAAAAGTGTGAGATAAAGAGCAACAGTTCACTTCAGACACTGCTAGTTAAGATTAATTCACAAGTGGGCCTAATTCAAATGGCCATATGACAAGGGAACAAAGAAGACATTTTCCAATTGTGATATTAATAAAGTTGTGACAGACTGCTCTTGACGGTGAGTTGATTTGTTTTGTTTTTTAATGGATTCAAAGAAAGAAAATAAGTGAGGGTTAACACAGTACTTCACATGTTCCAGCAGACCAAGGTTAATAAAATGATTTACAAAACATGCATACAGTTCAGTTCATGAGTGGTAAAATAATGAACTGTGGGGCACTTTCACAGTAAAAATGCAGAACTCTGCCACAGAAGAGGCACTGAATGCCTTTTAGAGGCAGACAAGGAAGGAGTGAACATATTGCACTGCTTACACTTAAACAGGGCAACAGCCTTTTTGTTGACAGACAAAAGAAGCGCTCCCCGACTTCGTCAATAGATGGCACTCTTTACCTTGAGCAGGCCACTTGAGCTCATACTCCTGACTGCATCCCTTCAATCACATTCCCTTTTCAGCCTCTCCTCCTCTACATGCAATAAAACCCCATTGTCCTACACTTAGTAGTTTAGCACACTGAGCGGATGCATAATAAAGCACTAGTCAGGTTCCTTAGTTAGGTTTGCTTTTGCAGGCCCTTTTTAGTTTGAATTGAAAATTTAGGATGTGTACCGTCCCCCCATCCCATCCTCCCTCCTGTATCCTGTTTTGTGAGTCAATGTTTCTTCATAGCTCTTAAAACCTTTTCACTGAATTCAGTATTCATTGAATATAACATAAACTGTCAGCCATCGGTGGCCAAGGCTAGTGAATATTGAGAAGGTGTGTGCGCTGAATATGTAGAGGTGTGTGCGCGCCTGATTATGTGTGTGCGTTGAATATTTACAGGACGGACCTTGACTTTGCAGGTCTGAATGTGTATTTCAGTGTGTGAAGTAGAAATAGAGATTTTTTTTGTGTATTGCTGTAATGCTTTTAGGACCACGCACCACGCTGTGTTGATAGCGGCGGGACAGACTGAATAGGGGGAGGCTAAAACCAATACCAGAAAGGAAGAAATACTGAAAAGAAAATCTACATTTAATAAAACTATGATTAATTTATGGCTTTGCAGCACCCAAACTGTTTAAACTAAAGCCCTAGGAAAATTGAAGAGGCAACAGCAATTGCTAAATATTTAACAATGCACAAACACATTTTATTTGTGTGTGTATGTGCGTGCATGTGCCCCACTGTGGCTACTTACCTAACCTCAAGGTGAAAGTTTTCTATGAATCTCAATAATCAATAAAACAGAGATGTGAAAACTTAAGATGGGGATCAAATTCGCATTCAAGGCATTAGTTTTGAGGTGACCTCAGTGACACCTCCCACCAGGGGTGGCCATAGAGAGAGCAATTAGCTGCATAGACCGACCGTTTACACAAACATGACTGTTGACTGCACCAAAGGTAGACACAAACACACACACAGCTAAAACACATAAAAAAGTAGTTCTTCTTTCTCTTTAACTTAAAATGTCTAGCAATATAAAAACACACAAAAGTAGACAGCAAATGGCAGCACACATACAGACATACACCAGGTGTTTAGACAAATAGATGTGTGGTAAATCTAGCTTAGTAGGGATTGATGACCAAATACCTGCCATAATTTTCCACATTAAACGAGGCTCCGCAAGGGATTGTGGATTTCTCGGCAACCAATTCTTCTTAATAGCTTAAGGTAGAAAAGTAGTCCATATGCTGAGGTCTGTGCTCTTTTACAACCTGTTTTTAGTGGCTTCACAAGTTAAGTTATGACATTAGTCCACAATCTAAGATCTCAGGTTCCTCGCTCTCTCACTTTCTTGACCCTCTTGTACTGGCTTCACAACTTAAGGTATGACATTAGTCCATAATCTGACTCTTTCTCGATCTCTCCCTCTCGGTGCCTTCATACAAGCTTCAAAGCCCATCATACAGCATCAGGCTATAATCATAGATCTGCGGTCAGATTACCCCGCTCTCACAGCTAACCTTTAACATGAGAAGGACGAAAACCCGGCTAACCCTGAATCAGTGGTTGGGGCTAGGCTGGGCCCTGCCTGGCCCTCATAAAAGCTTCATAAGGCTTCATAGGAGCTTCCTTTGGCTTTGTTGGGGGATTCGTAGCGGGCTAAGGTGCTCCCGAGAGACGTCCCAAAGCCTCCCAAGACTCTTTCTCTCTTTTTCTGAAGTTTCATGGGCTTGCAACACTGCTTTTGGGTATAAGCCAAAAGGTGCAGGCGCACAGCCGCACACAGTCATGCACACAAATACACCACAAGAAAGAAAAAAAAAAACATATGCACACAACAATGAACACTCGCAAAGACTAACACACACACAAACGCGCGCACACACACAGAGAGTCTAAAACTCACACACACATATGCACCCCAACACACTCCCCTTTTGCTCTCTCCTCTCCGCTTTATTTACAATCCTCTGGCAGCGGTACAAGGGCCCGGGGCTATAACACACGGCACCTAATGCTCAAACTGCCAGGTAATCTCATGTCTGACATCCCCCTTTGATAGAAACTGATCAATAGACTCTTGTAAAGGAGTCATTTTCTCTGATGTTTCTACCAACCACTTCTCTCTATCTCTATCTCTCTACCCTGCTCTCTCTCTCTCTCTCGCTCCTTCCCCCCCTTTTCTCTTTTATTAGCCATACATTTATAATTCATATTTCAGCAGGGCTGAGTTTGCTCTGAGACAAAGGGGGGCTTCTTT